CTCCTCATCTATTTATTTCGAGGCAGCAACAGCGGCGGCGCAGTCATTTGAAGTCATTACACACATATATTGTTAAATAAGTACCAATATCCTACATAGGTAGGTACGTTTCAAACGGCCAACATCCGTCGTCGTCGGGTGTTTTGACGAGACGACTTTTATTTGAATAACAATAAATTATATTCTGTACATATCGTAGGTATATAGATACTAACTTTGCTAATCTTGTACAGTGTTTTCCGTGACTCATTTAATACCCATGGATTAATCTCACCTTAAACTCCGTTAAATATAAGCGGTAAGTCGTACAAATATTTAACACAGTTATTTGGATTTTTTTTCGACCTAATATAAAATACACGTCTAAAATTATATTAAATTATGGTAACTATTTTATTTTCTACAGTTTAACCAATGACAACAATAAGTTAATTATAATATTAATAATAAAAAAATGATTATAGTGCTTTGTAAGTTAATTATATTCAAGGTTTATATCTTAAAAAGTATACTAACAGTAGGTAAGTAATATAAAAGTAGCCTATATGACGCTAAGAATCTGCCTGAATATTTTATAAACATCAGTCAAAAACTGTGGCTTGTCATTAAGGTCATTCGTTTTAGGTCTTTGGTTTTATTTAATGTATTATAATTATAGCTAATTCTGTACAAATGATAAATTAAATAAGCCATGCGCAGTTTACACAGCTGTTTTAAACTTCGTTAAATCTGAACAAAACGTATTTAAAAAAAAAATTATTTGAGTAGTTATATCCAATTACAATAATTTCTTTCTAATCTATAATTAATAGAAACCTCATACTAACAAAATACAATTCGAATTTTACAAGCCAACAAATCTCTGCATAAGCCTCTATTTAAAATTCAAAATTAAAAAATTTGGCTTCGAGATACACATCATCAAGTATAGAATTGTCTATGTATGTACCAAATTTCAAAACTATGAAGACAATAATCTTAGTTGTAGATCGTTCACATTCACGTACATAATCCACAAGCACTATCTTTAATTAATATACAGATACATGTCACAGTAGCCGTTTTCACATTGTGGGATCGATGACCGTTATCCTATGGGTTGTGTCATTAGGCGATCCGTTGGCTACCGAGGCAACTATAAACCCTGTCTGGTTTTCAGACGACAGGCACATTTAATTATGTGTAACCCATTTACGCCAAAAAAGATAAGAAGCTTCATTCTGATATATATCCAAAATTCACTAGATTAAAATGCAATGCTGGACGCAATCCCGCCTATAGTATCGTTAAAGAGCAATTCGTAAAACGTAAATAATAATCTTTTAAAAAATAAAGAAGGACTTACAAATATATCACCCAGTATATACATATAAAAAGTTCATTAGCATATTATATTTGTACAGCTAAATGTTAATAGATATAATTACTGGTAGAATAAATAACAACCATACCAATAAAATATGTAAAACAATAAGAATTATCTTTTTTTTATGTATCTTTACATATTAATCGTCTCAGATAAATTTTTAATTTTATTTTTAATGTTTATTAATTTTAAAGTATATTTAAATGAATAAAAATCAATGGGAAAAATACTGCAGTATTTATAAGATCTTAGTACAAAAGTTAGTTAAATAGTATGGAATTTAAAAAAGAAAAATTAAAACTAATAGACTACAATAATACACACGAGAAAATTTACATGAATAATTTTACTTTGAAAAAAGTTGTGTAAGCAGAAATAAAATAGATCACTTCGATGGCTATTTATTCTGTAAATACTGCAGGGTACTCATTTGGTTAAAATTATTTCTTTTCCCGAATAACGTAATAGTTCATGCTTACTGCTTAGTATAACTACTTTCCGGCGATTCGGGTTTGATCCAAACGTTTGTACCTATACGGCTGCAAAATATTTTCCTGGAAAATATTATTTTTATGGAATTCATTACTTTGCTCATCAACATTTGATGTTTTTGAATTTCTGAGAAACTTTGTACACGTGAGCAATCATGAAATAGTTAAAAAATTACTACCACACAATACAGTCAAAATTCTGATGAATTAGTTATAGCTAAAGGTTGCTAAAATTAAACTGAAAAAATCATAACTGGTAAAACAATATTCGAAAACGAACATTTAAAAATGACAGGGCATAAAGAACAACATCAGCGTATATTATAAAGTTGATTATCGGTGGCATGTGAACACCGCGGTCTATTATAATACACACATCTATATTTTTTTAATTGAAAAAAAAACTGTAGCCAAAATATACCATTAAAACAGGTACACCATGCAGTACAAAATTATATAGATAAACAGATCAACGATTAAATGAAGAATTCTCCATAATATAAATAAAGATAACGGTAGTCATTTAATTAATTTTTAAGTAACAAATGGAGTAGGATAAGTAGGTAGTATATATTTTAAGGGATTTATAAATAAACACAGGTAGCTTTAAATGGAGTGGTGAAGGACTAAATCAATTATATAATGATCCAACAAAAAGTGAAAAATGAAATAATTTGAAAAAATAGGTATGATCATAAAAAATTTCAGTAGTTGCATTGAATTATAAATAGCAATGTATATGTAAATAATTAGGCATATAACTTGATGACTAATGAAAGGAAGTAGTAGAAAAATATAAAAATTACTTTGAAAAGTTGACAAATAAAGCACCAGCCAAACCATCAAGAGTGACCTTCAAACATCTGAAAAATATACGCGAAGTAGGTACAGCGGAAAATTGTATTGACAATTCCATTGAGGCAATACTTCAATAAAGAAGTATAGTATAGTTTTTTTTCATTAAGCCTAAAACGGGAAAGTATTTGGTTCCTTTTTAATAAGATGAAGGTGAACATGAACTAGTTATTTTTTTAACGTTGTCGATGCTTTTGGACACTTTCATGAGAACCGTGTGACGTGTGCTCGTCGCTTCACATGGACAGCTGTAAAGAAGTATCGTTCACCCGAATACGAGTGAAGTGAAATGAAACAATAATATTAATTGATAAAGAAAAGAAAATAAAAATAAACCGCGGAACTAGAAATCTTGCCACCGTAGTATCGAGGAGGTATGTATACGAGTAGGTACTAATTAGTGATTTATAAAATATACTAAACGCGTTAAATATTAATACACCGCATGTAAATTCATTAATGACAACCGCTTCGGTGATGTATAATACGTTAGTATTTGGTTGAATTTCGACAGGCAAAGGAAAAATAACAGAACGTCCAGGGGTAAAAAAAAGAAATCAGTACAACGACGAAAAAACAATAAGTTTTATAATTTTCCTAAATAAGATAGCAACCGTATATGTATAATATATATAATAGTAGTAGTATAATAACTCTCGGAATCGTTTTAGATAATTTAGTTATTTATCATTCATAATAATACTATATGTTAATACGAGTACAATGAGGTACATAATATATATATATATAAATCTATAAATAATCACAATATTTAATATTTGTTAAAATTTGCAATACCGATCAACATCTTAATCAAATATTATAATTTTTGTAAGAATTTAATAAAATTATATTCACAATAATAACGTGCAAACAATTTTTTTTTTCTTAAATAAAAATAACGAACATCTGTGTGTGAGGATACAGTTCAACTATATAAAAATTGTATTTTTATATGGGCCATTAATCGGACATATATGGCCGATCAAAATAATATAATATACCATAATATGTATAATAGTAATAAATTATGTATGACAAAAATTCACTAAGTTTGGCCGGGAAGTCAAGTAAAATACTTATGTAAATAATACTAACGATCGAGTAAAATAAATAAATAATAGTACAAAAGTAATAATATTTTCTTGTAAAAGAACTTAAAAATAACATACTAAATAGTTAAGTTAACATTAATAAAAATTCACGTGCGTTAATAATTAAAAATACCAAATTCATTATATTAATACAATAATATTAATATAATATGTGAGTGCGATACCTATGTATAAAATATTTATTATTTATATAGATTGTAAATTTAAATAAGGAATGTAATTAGATCATCTAAATATATTATTATTATTATTATTATTATTATTTTTATTATTACTATTAATCATTGAGCATTGGAGGATACTAATTTGCATAATATTATACATTGTACCCATCTAAACGCATCTTCGTGCGTAACAACAAAAAAAAAAAACTTGAACCCTGATCGTTCGTCGTCAATTTTGATTTATGAATTTTGATATTCGGGGAGATGGTTTTTTACAATATTTAGTGACTGACGACGATAATGAATGGAAATTATAATTTATATGTAACCAGAAATGAAGGGAAGGAGGCGAAAAGTTGTTTTTTCATTCCTTTTCTTTCTCTCTCTCTCTCTATTTTTGAATATTATATAAATTACAATCCACCACACCGACGTAGATCAGTCAATATTTGTATGAGTTTGTTAGGGGATATGTCGGGGAAAAGGTGGAGAAGCCGGCAATTTTTTCACGAGATTTGTATATATCAACAAGACTCTTCTATGGACAAAGGTCGTGGCAGGCGTAAACGGTGGGGTACAACAAGTTTTTCCCGACGAATAAAAATATAATAACATTAATAAATAATAATAATAATAATAATAATAACAATATATTAGTAGTAGTAATAATAATGTTAGTATTTTGCGACATGGTCCGTTAAATCGGCGAGTTAAAATTTTTGTTTAGCCGTCGTCGGCAAGTGAGTTTGTAGATGAATGAGTGGGGTGAGAGCATCAATCGTCATCAATAGACAGCGAAAGTGAAAACGATATTTTTTTTTTGCATAATATATTAAACGTACGCGTTAAAGACAAAATTAGATTTAAGGTCAAAGTTGTATCCGATACACACACGAGATGTGGAAACATATACGTCTTTTATATATATATATATATATAAATTATAATATATTTAATATATTTTAATATATATTTATATATATATATATATATATATATAAATTACATACGTAAATATAACATATTATGTATATATTTTTTTGTATAAAATGGAAAATAAAGCGAGTAATATGTGATAATCGAAGAGGAACAAAAACTTTTTAGAATTTGGTTTTGTAAACGAATTAAAAGTCCAAACCGAAAATGATAAATTGTCGGAATAAGTTGAGCCATTGAAAACCGTCGATGCCGGCGACGGACACGCGAATAACTATTTATAATAATAATAATCAAATAATTAAATATTTATAATAATAATATATAAAATAAATATGGCCGTCGTCATCGGCGGATTTGTATTTTTATAGTAATCACATTTTTTTGGGGCTTTTTTTTAAAATGAGGGGGGAGTGTACTTATCGGAGCGGTAAGCAGAACCATCCCCTAGACGGCGGCCTGCCGTTGTCTGGGGGCGAGTCGATAGTCGTCGAACAGGGACAGTCGGCTTCGTGATGGTAATGCTGTATATTATGAGATGCGACGTAATCGTCGCAGTCCTCCTCGTGTCACACGTTGTCTTCTTGCGACATGAGCAACGGGTTCACGTATTCAAAACCCTCAAATTCGGACTGATCGATTTTATCGATGACACGTCTGAAAAAAATCAAAAACAAAACTGTTATTAACGATTCAATAAAACGAGTCGATGACATTTTATACCTTATCCTATATTTATCTTATTATTTTGAGTAAATTAAATATATTAAAACCATACACATATATGTTAATCTTTATTTTAAATCAATCTATTTAGTGGCAGAAAAAGGTTTAATGAGTCGCTTAATTATAATTCGAATGCAATCAAGTGATTAATACGAGGAGACATGAAGTTAAATAGTATTTACGTTTAATAGTTAAAAATGTCAATGCTATCTATATAATTCAGGATATTACTATAATTATTAAAACAAAATAAAATATAGTTTATTACACATATACACGTTATTTAGTAGGGGTGCAATAGAATTTTAATTTTAATTTTAAATTATTATTAATTATTACCATAGGTACTTAGTTTGCAAAAGTATAATTTTTTAGAAATATCAACGATGTGGTTTCAGTGTTGAATAAGTAAATAAAAAATAAAAAAAAACCTAAAGTCAAATATTTAATGCTGACTTATTTGTAAATGCCTAACAATCTACTTGACGAATTTTAATTTAAGGTGTACCTATACTCATTCGGTATCAAGTTTAAAACATAATTAATAAAGTCAATCATTTCCAACTTCTGTTTTGATCTATCTGCAGGCATATGTAATTTGCGCCACTTTTTAAGTTTGTAATTTGCGCAAAATAAAACTAAATAAAAAGGCATTATGTAATCTGTACCATCGTGTACCTACTAAAATTGTAATTTGCGCCATTCTTCGCCTTATTAAAATTGTAATTAGTGCCACTAATATTAAAATTATAAATAAATGTATGTAAGTAAAACAAACTCCATGTATATTAAATAAGTAAATTTTCGTTTAGTAATAAAACATAAAAATCAGTCATGCTATAAGTTTAAATAAATGTATATAAATAAAAGAAACTCTATGAACATTAAATAAGTAAATTTTCGTTTAGTAATAAAATATAAAAATCAAATCAATATCAATATAAAAATTATATTGGACACGCGTCAGTACGTAGTATTGTGTATTCTATGCGATTATCAGTAAATTTATCTACTAGTAAATTCCAACTGCGATTGAAGTAAAAAAGTGTGGCGCAAAATACCAAAATTAATTTGCTTATATGGCGCAAAATACTATCTCCCAATCTATCAATATAATAAATTAACACTCAACTTCAATAACATATTTCGTTTACAAAAAATTAATATATAATACATATACTTAAAAAGTTTTAAGCTTAAACGTTTATAACAATTTATAAATCAATTTTAATTGTTTTTCCGTTTAGATTTAATTCAATTTTGCAAACATATTTTCATGCATATAGGTACTTCTCATTACATTAATATTTTATTTATTTCTTTAGTTTATTGAAAAAATTCTACCACTAAGGTGATTTTTAAAACTATTTTTTTTAAATTTGGCAATTTACTTAAAATGTATAAAATAAATATAAACATGACATAAAACAAATATAATTAAAACATCAAATTACCAATAATATACTTAATACATATTATATATCTATAATATACTTTTACAAAAAAAAATTTAGTACTTATGTATGACTTTTATTTTTATGAAAGGTGGATAATACTTATAAAATTCATCTATCCTTCAGAACTTGGACATATTATAGGAATCGACATTTTTTCGTAGTTATTGATTTTACCTTATTTATTTAAAACAATTAATTTAATATATTTATATTTTATACAAATAACAAAAACGGACAAATAATTTAAGTAATAACCTTAAAATGTAGCTAAGTGTAAGTCAGCATAAGAGTATATCAATGTATAAATTACTACATTTAAAGTTCGAAGTTTTAATATGGAATAATGTGAATAACTAAGTAAATAACTCTGTAAAAATAAATAATTTTAAATATTTTATATACTTATAATTAAATGTATTCGTAAACGAACATTGGCCTTAATAAATTTTAAATTCTAGTCAAAATAATTTATTCAACAATGTATATTTTATATATAAAAAAATATGTGAAGTTATTCACGCCATTTCTGATGATTTACAACAACAAGTAACTAAAGTATAATTTCAGTTATTTTCCATATTATTTCAGTTTACGATTGTTTGATTACTGATTACAAATAACAAGCATTGTATATAAAATAACTTCGTTATTTAAAATTAGGAAGATATAAACATAGACATTTTTCCTCAAAAAAAAAAAAAAAGTTATCTAAAAACGTTTAACATTAATAAACCATAAATTGAATATTTTATTTATGATTAGTACACATTTTATTTTGTATTTTATCTATAAACAATCTTATTATATTACATGGAACTTATAAGTAAATTTAAACTCTACAGTTTTTTATATAACAAAATCTTTAGAATTTTTTTTTTTATTATTTTACTTTAAATAAATAAATATTTTTCTTTATTTTAAAAATAAAAATATTGCCACCTGAACATCCTACGAAACTAGCAATTATAAAACAAACGTCCCAAATAGCAAAATCAACAATTGTTCTAACAATAAATTGACCTTAAATTAATTTAGCCTAGATATATCATTATTCATATAATCATATATTAATAAACCTAGAGAAAACTAAGTAACTATTAAATGAGTAGGTTTTGTATAACATAAACAAAAACTGATAGTCATATTTTAAGTAGAAATTAATTTTTAAAAAAATTCAATGGTTGAAAAAAAAGCTATATAAATATTTTTAACATCAACTTATTTGTACATACATACAATTTCTACATAACTATTATTTAAGTTATGAAATTTTTCAAATTTCAATCATGTTTTTATCAGGCATCAACCACTTCAAAACATTTAAGGTGTAATCAAAAATGCAACAAACATAATTTAATAATATTCTTTCATACGATGCATTTTTTTTAACTATCTTATAAAGTACTTTACTATAATAAAGTTTTTGTAGTAATTTATGCACTATATTATTATTATACACTCATATTATTATCAAGAATTATTAACAAAATATAAATACCAATACAAAATATTTACTAAATTATCAACGTGTAAATTTTATGCATAGTTAAATGGGACAAATATTAATTTTGTAAAATTAAATTAAATTATGCTATAAATAAGATTTTAAGACAAAATTAGAATAGGCTATATGTAACGGCCGTTCCATGATCTATATTATGATTCAATTCGAACGTATTAAGTGTATGTAATATATACAACAGTATAGATTACAGAAGAGTTTAGAGAATATAATAATACCCAGATGATTAGTGCAAGCAGAATTAATATTGTCAGTGGCAGCAAACTATTAAAATTAGAACTTGTCTCGTCGTCGTAACCGTGGCTGTAGGTTTTTTTTATCACAGAACAATGAATATTTAGTTGACAGATCTAGTGAAACAAGTTGTCCTGTACCATAAAATAAATGAGTGTAATGTATATCATATTATATTTAAATTATAATGAATAATTGAGAATCCTAGTGTACTTGAAAAGAGTGGTGTTGTGCTTTTTTCCGGCTATAAAATACACCGTTTTTAAATCTTGTAAACCCCAATTCAGTCTCCTCGCCAAGCCAAACCCCGAAAAGGGAAAATGTGAAGAGGACGAACTTGAGCTCAGATAGTAATCGAAAAACTTCCCTTTATTTTTTTCTCGCGTTTTTCATTGTATTGTAAGTAGGAATTACTATATACGTATATTTATATATACTGCGTATCTGTACCCTATGGCCAGGGGGTTGATGGATCGTAAAATTTCTTGGGTTTTTAAGGTAATGCTCGGTCATAAAAATGCACTGCTCATCTCCTAAATAGTAATAATAATAATAATAATAAGGGAGCATGCTGTCTCTGCAGACTTCTCGGCGAACGACGAATAGTGCAGTATACGAGTATAGTAGTTGAACCTCCTCCTCCTTCTACTCACAAAGGTTTTACGACTATTTATTTTTTTCACCTCTCCGTCCTTCTTGGACCATTCAATGACGGGATCTATAACACTATATATATATATATAATACATACCGTTACGCACACGGTCGTAAATTCAAATCCAAACAAAAAAAATTCAACGAGATTTTTCATTAATATTTGGTAGGCCACCATTATTATTATTGTATAATAAAGGGAAAAATCAAACCCTAGCGCTATAGATAACTTTTATAAGCAGGGAAGAACCAATTTAAAAATTCGTTATTGTTGAACTCTACTCTTACTAATGGCGAATAAAATTACAATAGTATTATTTAGCTATTTACAGGAGCACAAACGTAGATAGTAGGTACCTTATGAGGTTTTTTGTAGTGCACCCGACCTGGTTTTGTCCGTGTTCATAACTTTATGCAACGATTCTGGAACTTTCGACTCTGGTACGTAAGTAAACCACGGAGATTATTTTTAGAGAACGCGAATATTTGCTGATAATCCGTCAGATTTTGGCTCAAAGCCCCGGAAAATACGTTTAGTTATGACTTATACTAATATATAACGACACCAAGTCAAATCTTTATTATTCATGTATAATTTATATAGAGTTTTACTGCTTGCATATGTGTTTCAAACACCCCTGGGATTCGTCTCTATAAATAAAGTACCAGACACACGCGCAACAAGCAATCACATACACATACATGCGCATTTCGAACTACGAAGAGCGTGAGATGTCGCCAAAACGCGTTGACCAATGTACATATATATTATATAAGAGACGATACATATATGCGTATCTCTCATATTATGTATAACAATAATATTTTAGTGGACACGCATCATCATCATCGTCATCACAAACGGCGGCGGACAAATGACCCTCCTCTCCTTTAGAAAGAACGCGCATACATATTTTTCATTTTTCATTCTTCATTTTTTTTTTTTTTTAAGTGTATATGTCCGCGCGTTTATCGCGATATGCTAATTCAGATGCTAAATGAGCCGTAGACAAAACTATTATAATATAAATTATTATAGAAGAGGGTTCGACGAGCGGAGAAGA